AAAGAAGCCTTTGGAGTTTTCCGTACCTCCAAGAATTCTTTTCGGGACTTTGCCCAAACCCTGCTCAAGAAGAAAACGGAGCTACTCTCACAGGACAAGAAGACACCTACCATCTTGGATGTGTGGAGTCCACGACTTTACGGAAAGGGAGCCACCCAGATCCTTTCAGTCCTCTTCAAGGCGCCACATGATCATGAACGTGAAGTATGGAGACATTCTGGATGTGACGGAGTCTTTTTCGAGCATGCCCACCTTGGTGACCGAGACACCTTGATGGAGGAGAGGGAAAAGTACAAGGTTGTGCACTACAAGGATGAAGTTCCGCTGACCACGGCGCTTGCGGATCTACAGGGTCTTGGGGATCACATGGGTTTGGTGTGCACATCCCGTGGCTTGGGAGTTCGGTGCGAAAAGCAAGCCTTGAGTGCAGTTACAAAGGTGGTGCTTGGTCCCAACGCACTGGTGGGCGCGGATATGTTCGTGGTTAAAAATCTTCCGCTGCACCTTTCGCGTGATCAGGCCCAGACAGTGCTCAACACCCAGATGGGCTTCGAGTGTGCGATTTTGGACTTCTACGTGTACAAGCAAGCTCGCCATGCCAAGGTGCGAGCACCCAAAGCGCCAGCGCAAACAGCAGTTACGATGCCCACGCCATCGGGTGATTTCTTGGTAGAGATTCAGCCTGTGGGTACTGTTGCTTTGAAGGCCTCAGGGGCAAATGAGTTGCCCAACAGTGTCCGCGCCCCGCCCGCGGCAGCATCGGCAAGAACTTCCACTTTCCCGCCACCTCCCCCGCCAGGGTTCAACATCACTCAGATCGGGAAGGGTGCCATTGGAACCCCGGTGACGATTCGGGGCCCGCAGCAACGCGCGGCCACTCCACAGGCTACGGCTACACCACATCGCGAAGTGCATGAGGTACGGTATGCGGGCTTGGAGACAAAATTCCAGCAGCAGGTGCAGATGCTCACGGACACGGTGCAGAACATGCAGACAAGCATTGAGCAGCTGCAGCTTGCCCAAACAGCCAAGCCGACGCAGGAAGATGAGGAGATGACTGATGAGCGACATCAAACAATTCTGGCACGTTTCGACTCGATGGATGCGAGGATCTCCCAGGTGGAACAGAAAGCGGACAGCACAGATGACCGCTTTCGAAACATCCAGGGAATGCTTGAGGAGCTCGTCGCAGAAAAGAGGGCCAAGTTTTCGAAGTGAAGCGGGGGGGCTTCGGCAAGGGGACACCGCCGACCTCGCAGAGCTATTTGCCTTTGGTTTGTCATTCTGCTTACTATGTTTGGTGACCTGGGCCGAGTGATGGCAACATCTCAGACGGCCTGGCGAGTACATGGGCAGCAGAGTGGTCGGGTTACACCTTTGATATCCCAGGACACAAACTCCCGGGTTAGGAGTGACATCGCATTGGGGTCGGGAGATCTTTCTCATGGATCTCGCCAAGGGGAACAAAGCAGGGAGACATCAAGCCGAAGCTGTTATGATGCAGGCCTGCCGCAAGTGGTACCATCGGAGGCGCCCAACGTCCCGGTGGAGAGCAAATTTGTAATTCGCAGTTGCAACATCACAGCTTGGAGACCACATGCTCCGGAGTTGCTGTCATGGAATGCAGATGTGGTACTAATGCAAGAAAGTCGGCTCACCGCAGTGGCACAACAGCAAGCCACTACCACAGCAAGGAGCGCAGGTCGCCACTTACTTCATGGAGCCCCAGTTCCGGTTCAAAGTTCCCAGGAACTCCAGGAGGGAGGACAGCGATACATCAAGCCCACTATTTGGAACGGTCGACATGGAGGAGTTTCCATCATGTCACGGTTGCCCACGCAGTCTACACTGGCACATGATACCTCATATGATGCGGACCGCAATCTTTGGGAGCGGCAGCGGTTTGCGCTGGCACGAGTCCCTTTGGCCAGGAATCGCTCCATCATGGTTGCCAGCTTCTATGGTCTTGCTGGAGGTGGAAGCCCGCATCGGCGAGATCAGCATTTTGAGTGTAACGAACGCATGTTGCAGCAAGTGTTTGAGGTGGCCTCTAGATACGGGGATGTGCCCTTCATCATCGGTATGGACGCAAACATTCAGGTCGATAAGTCACCTACCCTTGTCACTGCGTTGTCTACGTCCAGATGGCATGATGCGGGTGAGGTTTTTGGTCATGCTGGAGGATTGGCTCCCACGTATTGCCAAGACCCTCAGTGGGACAAACATGCAGCAATACCGGGCGCTACCCGAATTGACTACATTTTGGTTAACTCTACAGCGCTCAGTGCATTGCGTGATTTTCGGCTGGTCAGGGATGCTGGCCTTCCAGGCCACCTTGTGCTTGAGGCGGAGTTCAATTTTACAGCTTTTCGAGAGGAAGGGTACACGCTGCGTCAGCCTAGGCCCTTTCCCTTGAAGAAGATGCCCCAGTATGACGATGCCACCCTTGAAGAAATGGGCCAACGCACTTGGCAACCCTTAGAGGCTCCATATCGGGATGCACTACAACTGGGTCGGGCTGATAGAGCATGGCAATTGCTAAATCATGGTTTGGAATGCTTTCTCGAAGCTCTGGCAGAGGAGCTGCCATGCACTTGGTCGCTGGGTCGTGGCCAACCTCCAAGGTTTGACCAGTTCAGCTCGAGGGCGCCGAGGGAAAACATCAACGGGGGAGCTCAAACCATGCATTTGAGACAACTTCAGAAGCTTCTACAGCAGGGCCGGTCTTATCTAGCCCAGTCCCGCCGACATGTTCGTTGGCACACGGAAGGCAGACCTATTTCCGGGGCTGACTACAGACAGCGCGTTGAGGCATGGAGAAGTTTCTGCCGCAAGGGTCGTGGTTTGCTTGAAGCAGATTGGGACAGGTGGTGGACGGACGCCGAACCAGCAATCCAGGATATGCAGGCCATAGTTGATGCTCTTGCCAGACGATTCGACTGGGAAGCCAAGCGGCAAGCACAAGGTCGAGTCCAAAAGTGGCGGGAGTCTTTGCGAAAATCTTTCCGGAATGACCGCAGTGTCTTGTGCAAATGGGTTCGCCAACGAGAACAACGACCTATCACACACGTGATTGCGGAGGACGGGGTCAAGTCAGCAGTTCCTGATATGCTTCTGTCTCTTGAGGATTTCTGGGTTAAGCTCTTCAACCTGTACTCTCATGATACGCCGCCCACTTGGGAAGCCTTTCAGCAGCGATATGGGCACACTTTCCCTGCGTGCCAGCCTTGCAAACTGCCTAAAATCACTGCCAGAGATTGGAAGGCACAGGTTCACAAGTTGCCACTACATGCTGGAAAGGGCGTGGATGGGTGGAGAGCGGGTGAGCTGCAACGGCTGCCGCTCTTCTTATGGGAAATTGTTGCGGACTTCTTTGATGCCATCGAGCAAGGCATGCAATGGCCCAAGAGCCTCACGTATGCGCAAATAGGCTTGATGCCGAAGGGGGACGTCTCCAAACCTGGAAAGCAGCGCCCTATCTCAGTGTTTGGCATACTCTACCGTTGTTGGAGTTCACTGCGTTTCCGTCACATGCAGTCGTGGAGAGAACAATGGATGCCAGATAATATGCGTGGAGCCAGAGCAGGTGGATCCACGCATGACATCTCCATCATGCTCTCTTTGGATGTTGAGGTCGCTCAACTAGAAGGTCGCCCGATTGGGGGATTCCTCTTCGACAGGGAAAAGTGCTTTGATCGCCTCACCTTTGACATCACAGATGGATTGGCGGGAGTTTTTCAAGCTCCAGAGGGCGTGCGGATTGCCATGAATCGGCTCTGTCGTCAAACCAAGAGGTTTCTCAAAATCGGCAAGTTCTGCGGACGTGTGTTTCAAGCCACGAATGCTTTGCCCCAAGGATGCTCTTGGAGCATACTCAGCATACTCATGCATATGGCTGTTTGGCATCGCGATCTGGCCTCTTGTGCCCCATTAGCAGTGACGTATTCCTTCTATGATGACTCCAGCACAACGGGGCCAGACCAGGAGACTCTTGATACGGCTTTGGCTGCAACCATAGAGTTCGATGAGTACACTGGCGGATTGCTGAATGGAGAGAAGTCCATCGCTTTTGCAATTGGGGAAGAGCTCAAAGCACACTTGCAGCAGCAAAACCTGTATGGGCAACCGCTCACGGTAGCAGACTATGGCAAGCTGCTGGGTGCTTTTCTCTCTTTTGGCGGTGATTTCCCAGAGGACAAGCAAGATGAGAGACTTCAGCGGCTCATCACGGTCATGCGCCGAATACGAAGTGTACCCGGCACTCCGCAGGTTCGCGGCTACTTGGTGGACATTTTTGCCTCCGCGGCCATAGCTTTTGGCACAGAACAAGGGGGATACTCCGACAAGGCCAAGAAGGAGTACATGGCATTGTTGCGTCAGACCTTGTGGAATTGCGACAATATGTGGCCAAACATGGCCATTACCTTGGCGATTCTCTTCAAAGGTCATCGTTTCGATGTTGAGGCCATAGAGCATCATGAACCCCTACGCCTATGGCGACGCCAGATTGTTCGAGACGAGCATACCAGATCCAAACTACAACACGCATGGGCGCTCAAGCAGCAGTGCCCCGAAGTGGTCACCGGTGGTATTTTGCACAGACTTGACGTTGTTGCGCGGGATTTGGGATGGACCTGGTCTCAGTATGATGTTTTTCAGCGACCCGGTGATGTTCCATTACAATGTGGTTTGGCAAAAAACATCTTCGAGCATCAGTTGCGGGAATCCTACAGACGCGACAAGATTGCAAACGGGACTCACAGAAAGGACAACGTTGGCCAGCATGCGGGCGTTGACTATGACATCACGGTTGCCTTGTTGCGCACTTGGGAGCGCAACCCCAATGTCACAACTCCTTTGCGGATTGGGATTCTACGCCGATGTTTGGGGGGTGCCCTCTACACACGCCAACGGCTGCATCGGGCCAAGGTGGTTGAAACGCCGTGGTGCACTTTCTGTGATCGGCATGAAGAAGAGGATGGCTGGCATCTTTTCTGGACCTGCCCACGATGGGAAAGCTTGCGGCAGTACGTGAAGTCCATCACTACAGAACAGCAGCGGTGGTTCATGCATGGATGTTTGGCTCACTGCGGCGTTGCTCCCGTGCATACTGAGGCTGAGGATTGGTTTGTACAAAGCTATACCCCAGAAACGACAGATGGCGCTGCACATGCTACAGAACCTGGCGATGAGGAATGTGAAGTCATTCGCGATGGCTTCCTTCTCACTGCGTCGGACGGGGCGTGTCGGCATGCACAGTTTCCAAAGCTACGATCTGCTGGATGTGGGATGTACTATGGCAAGGACCACAGTTGCAACAGAAGCTTTCCTTTGATGGGAGTTGTCCGTGACGCTGCTCGTGCTGAGATTGCGGCAGCTCTCCACATCATCAGGACGGCGTGGAGGCCCACTGAAATCCTGATCGATCGAAAGGCCACGCTGGACGGTCTCAGACGCATTGAGCAGGGCATCTCCTACAAAGACTTGGCAAATGCGGATCTCCTGGAGCACGCAGCCAATGCGTGGCAGGCCAAAGGAGGCTCCGTCTTTTTCAAGTTCACCAAGGTTGCGGCACATGGCAGAGGGGGCTCTGGGCAAGACCAGCTCCACACGGCGTACAATGCTGCAGCAGACAGGTTGGCCACCGCTGCAGCTGACTCCGTCAAGCCTCCGGATGATCTTGCTGATCAGTACAAGCAGTATGCCAAGCTGGTGCGGGCTATACAGATCATGTGTGTCGACATCCTGGAGGCGCAGAAAGCGGCCACTGCGGAGGACATCCAGGTGAATGATCCTCCGGAGCCGCCTCCTGAAAGCGCTGCTCCGGGCGCTGAGAGGGATCAGGCTATGGCTGTTGAGGCTCTGCCGGCGGCGCAGTTTTCCAACATCTATCCTGATTATGTTTGGCCTCGAGAAGGTGATGAAGATGGACACAGCCATGCAGTGCCACAACCTGTCACCTGGCGTCAAGTTACGCCGCAGTTTCGGCAGTTCTGGCTGTATGGGCTGGAAGCTTTTCATGCGGTGCAATGGTACTTCCGACACCTCAAGTGGTACACAACTCCTGATGCCGACAATCCGTTAACAGTGGCCGATGTTACATGGGCTGAATTGGTGCTTGATTTCAGCTTGTCCACAGGTTGCAGGATGTGGAAAATGGACCAGAACCCTACCAATCTTGTCCAACAAGCAGAAGCATTCAAAAAAGCCGCGCAAAGCATGGCCAACGTCATCGCCAGGGTGACTTGCAGTTTTCCGAACTCTCTTTTCCCTGGTTCGGTTATACGAAAGGCCGTTATCCTGAGATCGATGGGTTTTGCGGCGGCGCTTGGGCTCTCTGTGCGGCCTCAACTCATGCAGCCGCTCACGGTTGGCCGCGTTTTGGCTGGATGGATTGCGAAGCAGAATCTTCCACTGGATAGGGCTAATAGGCCGATTGGCTCGTACAGTTGGGTGCCAGCTCTTACAGAGGGGCATCTTCTATGGCATCCTGATGAGCGTTACAAGGCCCCGGTACCAAGTCGAACACAAAATGGACAGCTCAGCCTTTGGCATCCTTGCATGGATGGTACCTGTGGCCCGGGCAAGAACGGAGTGCATCGTCAACAGCTGCAGTGCCGGGTCTGGCATCCTCCAGCTCCTGTCCCTGAAGCCGAACAAAAGCGAGTGCGCTTGAACAAGAAGCAACCACCGCCTTGTGTTGCCAATGCTGTGGGGTCTGTGCAGCCTCCAGTTCGGCAGCTGGTGGTTCCTCCGGCTGAGTCACTTGGTGAGGCTGCTTCCAGCGCCCAGCCCCGGGCTGGTGCTGAGGAGAGCAGCGACAAGAAAGTCCGCAAAGATGCTGCGAAGCCTGCGCAGCCTGCGCCCACTGTTTGCGAAGTTGTTGCAAGCATCCGTCGCTCCAGCTGGAAACTTGGTCAGAGCTATCCTGAAGCAGTGGTGCAGCAAATGAAGCTGATGACCAACCACGAACGCATCAGGGTGCACAAGACGATGGGTGTCACAGAGACATGCGATAGGCGTGCTGCAACGAATGCAACTGGACAAATGAAAGCAACCTTGCTCCGCAAATTGTATGATCAGTGTGCTTTGCTCAACAAGCGTGCTGGGAAACCGTTTCACCACTTGGTGCCAACAGACGATGGCACGAAAGTTCAATGCTCTAGATGTGGTCGGTGCACTCCTCGTGGTGCATTGTCTTTGTGGCGGAATGAGCTCTGTCACTCTGCAGCGGCTGCTTCCTCGAGTGCAAAGTAGGTTTGGGTCATCTCTGGCCCAGGTGGATTTCAGCTGTCAAGAGAGAGGAGCCTGTCTTTTTCTTGACATGGGCTTTTTGCAGGCATTCATTTGGCTATGTATGGCTTTTTCTCTTCTATGAAGGTCACCTATGTGACATCCTCATTTCGGGAGGAGGCTCCAGTTTGCAATATTGGAGTTTTCCTTGTCATACAGATCGCCTATGCGATTTCTTTCCATGCAGTTCACCTATGTGATGTTTTCATGAGAGGTCTTTGATGCACAGAGTTGCACAAGCAGACCGCGACGAATGTTTAGAAGTTGACGACACCTACGTATGGAGACTTGAACCACTTGGTCTCAGCTGCGATGAGCGGCGTGACTTGCTGCCTGCGATTCCCCGGCCAGCTGAACTGCGACCTGCGCAAGATCGCCGTGAACTTGGTGCCCTTCCCGCGCCTGCACTTCTTCATGACTGGCTTCGCTCCCCTCACCTCCCGCGGCTCCCAGCAGTACCGCGCCCTCACGGTGCCGGAGCTCACTCAGCAGATGCATCTTGGCTCGAGTCCCATGTTATTTTTGCAACTATTTTCTACAGAATATTTAGCGTTTAAGATGCATGCTACTGTTCTGCTCTCTGCTCCGTCAGCAGAACCGCCCAGGTTCGATGCAAAGAACATGATGTGCGCGGCGGACCCACGCCACGGGCGCTACCTGACGGCTGCCGCCCTCTTCCGCGGCCGCATGTCGACAAAGGAGGCCTCGGTTGCGCGTTGCACACACCAGTCGAAGAGCGAAGCAGGCTTGTGGCGCGCACGATGCTCGCATGATCTTTCATGAGTCTTGTGGCAGGTCGATGAGCAGATGCTGAACGTCCAGAACAAGAACTCGTCCTACTTCGTGGAGCTTTTCTGTCCAACGAGTGTTGAGTGAACAGATTGGAACTTTTGAGTTTAGGGAAAGGTGTCAGGGCCAAGTACTTATGCGACGACATTGCGCTCCTGAGTCCTGCATGCACTTGCGAGCACACGTGCGGTGGCAATCCGCGATCTGCAGGAGTGGATTCCCAACAACATCAAGGCATCTGTTTGCGACATCCCGCCCAAGGCCGGACAAGCAGAGGCTTAGTTCTTGGGCGTGCCGAAGTGTTCATGTGAAGGGGGGGGATGTAGAAGGGGACTTCTTTGGGGGGCCTTTTTTTTCAATGCTGGATCCCTGGCAAGGGCCTCAAGATGGCGGTGGCCTTCGCTGGAAACTCCACGGCCATCCAGGAGATGTTCAAGCGCGTGGCGGAGTACTTCACGGCCATGTTCCGCCGCAAAGCCTTCTTGCACTGGTACACTGGTGAAGGCAGGTCCCAAGAAACGGGGCACGGCGTTGATGAAAGAGTCCCATGTGAATCTGGCACAGTTTGCTAGCAAGTAGAGACCATGCAGCCATAGGGCCATAAGCATTCGGCGGCTTGCGGGCTACAGGCATGGACGAGATGGAGTTCACAGAAGCCGAGTCCAACATGAACGATCTGGTGTCTGAGTACCAGCAATACCAGGATGCCACTGCCGAAGAGGAAGGCGAGTTTGACGAAGAGGAAGGCGAGTACGACGGCTGAGACGGCTGAGCTGTGAGCACAGCTGATGATTGCCTGTCGAGCCCGAATTAGGCATCGAAGGCTTCCCAAATTTCTTCGGAAGCCATCGGTAGCCTGCAGGCCTGCCAGTAACTGTCCCTTCAAGCTTACTCGGAGCCCCTAGCCACCCTACAGCCTTTTGAGGTTCATACCCATAATCTCCCCATCGCCAGCCCTCTCGGGGGCTTCACGTGGTGTGCCATGTGTGCGCGTGGGCAGCGAGCAACCTGAAGTGACAAAAATATGTTGTAGGAGGAATGGTCACATTGCCCTGCGGGCAATGTCGTGCAGCGAGTTTGCCGCTTAAGCATGTTGTGGTTAGTGGATCCTTCCACGCCGCTGTAAGCTGTCGTTCCGTTGTGGTGCAGGCGTTTGCCGGTTCAGCCTTCCAAGCGCGCACCGACCCCCCACAGAACAGCATGCCGGCCTTGCTGAGCACTCGCGCCAGGAGCAGCCGCGCGCGCGGCTGCGCCCTCCTGGCTCTGGGCGCGTGCGCGCTTTGGAGCTTCCAGGGCCAGCAGGCGTTCAGCGGCGCGCCGGTCGTGGAGGAGTCGTCGGGCCTCACCAAGATCATCGCCGACCATGTCTCTGGCCCTGATGGCCGTGTGCGGGGCCTTTGCCTACACCGAGAAAGCGCTGCCGCAAGCAGCAGGTCCAGCAGAGAAGCGAGCGGACTACAACAGCTTCCTGATGATCCAGAACATTCTCTGCTTCGCGTCCGGGTACGTGAACGCCCTGGCCATCATCGACATGGGCATGACCGTCTCGCACCAGAGCGGCAACACCAGCCACACGGGACGTCTCATCCTGAACGGGGGGGCCAAGTTCTTTCACTTGATGCTGTCCTTTGGCGCCGGATCCTTCGTGGCTGGATACAGCAAGTGTGACCAGGAGGCAGTGTACCAGGGTCGCTACTCACCCAACTTGTTGGCCGCAGCCTTTGCCGTCGTGTTCGGCTGCATGGTTCACTACTGCAAGGCTGAGGCTGGCGTCGCGAACGATGCCGCCTCCGAGTGCTTGCTGCTGTGGGCCTTTGCGCAGGGCATCCAGAACGGCATCACGCGAAGATGCAGCTCCCTGCCGATCTGCACCACGCACTTCACCGGCTACCTCACCGACTTCGGCGTCGGCCTGGGTCTGTGGGCACGTGCGCAGGCGGACGGCGCCGAGCCGTCTACCCTGCTGAAGGTCCTCCTCTTCGGTGCCGGCATCTTCTTCTTCGGCCTTGGTGGCGTGGCGGCCATGGAGACCCATCCTATCTGGGGCGCGCAGGCAGCACTGATCCCCGCCGCCATCATGGCGGCCGTGGCCGGTGGCCTCATCCCCGTCATCAAGACGCCCGCGAAGACCGCCGCCTAAGACGCGCTTGAGTCAATGCAGCTTTGATCTGATCGCGCAGCAGGCTTGACTGATTGAGTAGTTGCGAGAGTCGCCACAGTGTCACATTTTTTCCTTTAGGCCGGCGCTAACATCCTGTGCCGATTTTGGAGGCACCGGCCATATTTCAATTCCCGTACCGTTATGTCAGCCGCACTTTGAAAGAAGGACGGCAGCGGCGGTTCCGGGGGGCTTTGTGAGGCCTTGTTGCCCCCCCCCTGGCCGCGTGTTTGTGTAGACAGCTCTGAAATTCACATGCAACTTATCCGACCTATCCTCTACGAGCTTGTTAGCTCGCTGGTCAGCGGCACAGGCCTGGCCAAAGACACGTCGCCAAAGCAGAGACCATCCATCGACAGCCAGAAAGCGTCTGTGGCTCGTTCTTTTGGCCAGACAGATCATGGTAGATGGCAGAAGTCGTTCAGAAGCGCCGGGTCCCAGAATCAACACTTCATTCATACGTTGTCCCGTTGGGAAGGGCCGGGGGAGTCGGGACAAGATTGGGCATGGGCCAGCATACCCTAAACACTAAACTGGCACACCCACCCAACTCCTATGGAATCCCAAGACAAAAGATGACAGAAGAGAGTGGCGCCAGGGCCTCATGACCTCTGGGGGCAGGTTTCTGATGCCCTGCCAGCCCCTTCGCCTCCTGCTGGCTGACCTCATGCCGTACTTTCCTCGGCAGGCTGAGGATGTTTTAGGGGTAAAAAGTCCGCAAAGTCTGCGAGAGCAATAGAGTGGTCATTCTATATGAAGGAGCATCTCGAGACGTGATCAATTTGGAGGCTTTTGCCTTGGCGCTGCCAAGCATCGGGTTTGCAGGTTTTTTCTCTGCAGCATGACCTAAACCATAAACCTTACAGTTTAGGGTTTAGGGTTTAAGGTTTAGGGTTTAGGTTAGGGTTTAGGGTTTAGGGTTTAGGGTTTAGGGTTTAGGGTTTAGGGTTTAGGGTTTAGGGTTTAGGGTTTAGGGTTTATAAGGTTTAGGGTTTATAAGGTTTAGGGTTTATAAGGTTTAGGGTTTAGGGTTTAGGGTTTAAACGCCTGCTTCAGCAAGTGCGAGGGTCGAAACCCAAACCCCAAACCCTAAACCCTAAACCCTAAACCCTGGCCCACACACCTGTTTCCACTTACGACCCCCGCAACTGCCAGGTCCCGGGCCGACCTCGGCCGGAAGGGACGGTCGCCTCGACAAGCTGAGTGTAGATGCGAATGAGCAGTCTAAAGGAATCCTGGGGTTTAGGGTTTAGGGTTTAGGGTTTGGGGTTATTAGGGGTTTATAGGGTTTATAGGGTTTAGGGTTTAGGGATTCACATATACACACCCATAAAGGAATCTTAGGAGGGGAATCCATAGTTTTTTGGTGGGGTTTAGGGTTTAGGGTTGGTGGGGGGGCCGCGCCGATCAATGCACAAGTCTTTGAATTCAGAGGCGTCCTCCAACGGAGTTCTCACCAAGTTTTTGCTACTAGGCGGAACCTACGGCGAAAAACTCCATAACCTGTTTACGCTGACACACAGTGCCATCTTTGCGTTTGCTCTTTGCGCAGTTCCGCCTAGCACAGTGTCACCCTTGTTACATAACCCTAAACTCTAAACCCCAAACCCTAAACCCTAAGCCCTGTGCAAGAATGACACGCGCAAATCGAGAAGTGTAAGAGCTGAAACCCTAAACCCTATAAGCCCTAACCCCTAGGAACCCTACAAACCCTGCAGAAACCCCATAAACCCCATAAACTCTGTAAAAAATCATAAACCCTCTAAACCGTAAACCCTAAACCCTATAAACCCCAGAAACCCTAAACCCTATAAACCCACAAACCCTATACATGCCCTATATAAACCCATAAAACCCTATAAACCCTGCAAAACCCATAAACCCCATAAACCCTGTAAAAAACCCTATAAACCCCATAAACCCTACAGCCTAAACCCTACAAAACCTATGTAAACCCTGTAAAAACTCATAAGCCCTATAAACCCTATAAAAACCCTATACACCCTATACACCCCTATATAAACCCTATAAAGCCTGCAACACCCCATAACCCCAAAACTGCGCTTGGTGTTGGCAGCCCGAGGCTTGCCGTTTGACTCCAGCGGCACACCCGTCTGCGTAGGGACATCGCCGCCGGGTCTCAATGTTCTCCCCTTTATTCTGCAACTAAGATGCCATTAGATGTGTATGAGTCATAGATCAAGCAGAAAAATGTCGGAGGTCGAGGTTTTTGGGTATGGTTTGGTATGATTTTGGTGCTCAGGTTCTGCGGCGACCCCTGTGGCAGGAGGGAGGTGCCCTTGTAATCTAAAAAATGGCCGCAAGTGTGGCCCGCACAAACCACGCGGTGGGGCAGAGGCGCTTCATCCCCGCTTGAAAAAAGCCCCCGGGCTGCTGAGGGTTTATAAGGGTTTATAAGGGTTTATAAGGGTTTATAAGGGTTTATAAGGGTTTATAAGGGTTTATAAGGGTTTAGGGTTTAGGGTAGAACCCGACAGAACCTCTAGAGTTTCTCGGCAGGGCCCCCCCCAAACCTGCCCCAGATTTTGCAACATTCACACACACACACACACTCTTAGTAGTAGAGTAGATAACCTTTAACCTTTTTGGGTTAACATATTCCCCTTATAATCCCAAAGGTTAACCTTTAAAACCCCTAGGTACTGGACAACACACACACTTGCAGGTTGCTGTTACATATAAGGGAGGGGGGGGGGGGCCTCAAAACCCTAAAGACTAAACCCCATGGGGACTCTGAAATCTGCCTCGGGGAGTTACAGGAACTGCTCTGAGAGGGTTTAGGGTTTAGGGTTTAGGGTTTAGGGTTGAGACCCCACCCAGAAATGACTGCTAAGCCAGTGTGCGCCGCTGCGTGTTTTCCGGATCTCTTGCAGGATGGGCCCGGAACCGGGCACCCAGCAAACCCCTGTGGGTGCTGCTTGGAGGTTCTTAGGGTAGCTAAAGTAGGGCTAGAAGTATGGCAATTCTACTTTATCACTACTTATAACCCTACTTATAAGCGAGGGATGCAGGTTGCACAGTATAGGGGCTTTTCAGTAGGGCTCACTGCCGACCCCCCACACCGCCTCACGCAACATGCAGCGGATCGCGAAAAGCTGGGCAGGGAGCGGGCCCTGTGCTCTTGTGTTCCACTGTGGCTGATTTGGAAATGCTTTCATTGTTCTCTGGCCCTATAATATAGCCCACATAACCCACATAAATGTAATTGTCACGCGGCCCCAGCGATTCACCGGTGCTATACCTATACCCTAAACCCAAGCTGTGCTGACACCCCGAACCCTCCCGCCCCATAGAGAGTCCCAGACACGGCTGAGAGCATGGCTCGTAGAAGAAGCACGCGCAAGCAGAGCCATTTCTCTTATTGCTGTTCTCTTGCTGCAATTTTTTGGGTTTAGTGGGTAGGGTTCATCCTTCAAAAAGGGTCGCTCTCACAGGCTCTGAGCCCTAAGAGATTTGCCTTTCTTGGCTCGAGCAGTTGAGAGCAGCATGCAGGGCAATGCACCTCGGAAGTTAGGGTTTAGGGCTTCGGGTTTCGGGTCCAAAACGGTTTACGGGTTTATAGGGTTTAGGAATACTTGCGTGCTGCCGAGCGCACAGATCCTTCGGAGAGCCTCAAGGGACCAGCCGAAAGACCTGCTGGCGGCCCAGCATCGTTCGAGCACGCTTTCTCTTCAAACTCTAAACGCGGCTGAAAAGAATCCGTGCTTGCCTCGTGCGAGTGTGCGAGTCAAAGCCCGGCTGAAAAAACGTTTCTACCATGGTAAAATACATTGTGCCCAACAGAGCTTTAAAAACACACAAACAAGCCACGGTTCTTGCAGGTGTTCTGATGTTTCTGATTGATTCAAGGATGTGCCTGCGCGAGCCTGCGAAAGCAAGGGTGCTCGCTTTCGGGCGTTCCCATGTAGTCTTCTTAGAAACCGCTCACACTTGTCGAAGGCGTCCACACTAAATCTTGGTGGTTCGTTTCAGGGCCCCGCCATGTGCGAGCTTTCAACGGGGAATCCCAGCCTTGCAGCAGATCTCAAAGATTTAAGGCGCACAATTTGTTGATGAACCAAATTTCAATAGGAAATACGTATACATCTATTCATTTCTATATGTATACATCTACTCATTTCTATTTAGTTATTTATTCACCTATCCGGGCTCTTCCTGGCTGCCTCGCGCATTTTTTGCGGGCCAGCAAGATCTAGGCCCTGTGTGTGGGCAGCTCTCTGAGTTATCATGGGTGTTGCGGTTCGGTTCGCTTCGGTTTGGGTTTACTAGGGTTTACCTCAATGATATACCGTGCGGTTCGGTTTGGGTTTTCCATGGTTTGCCACGGTGTGTAGCCAGTTAGGCCGCTGCGGAGTGGGGGTGGGGGGGGGGGGGGCTGGGACTGGATGGGACTGGAAGGGGGGAGGGGGGCTGGTGTGGACGGAGAGGGGCTGGATGGGAGGGAGGTGGATGGAGCGGAGGGGGCTCTTCTGGATGGGGCGGCGTTTAGTTGGAGAGGGGCTGGGTGGCCCTGGATGCCGTTCGGTACGTTCGGTTCGGTATCGGTTCGATGCGGTAAGCGGCAAAAGCATTGTTGAAACGCCCATGGTTGTGATCCCTCTGGATACCTTATATCTGTAATTGGAAGCCGAAAATGGGCGTATAATTCAGAGAACCGAAACGTCGCTTTCGTGCGTTTCAGGTCCCTTTTCTTGATTTTGGGATGTGGGCTGCGGCGTTTGCAAAAGATCCGCATAGCGCCGTGGGACACAAAGTGCTGAACATGCACATATGTGTATGGATAAAAAATATAATATGTATATGTTTGTGTATACGTACTTTTTCAGTTTGTCTATACATAATATCGAGCAGATATACCATATCCTATCCACAACATACAAAGTACAACATTTTTCATTGTCATGGGTTAGAAGCCTGGCTGTCAGAAGAGCACCCTAATCCTAAACCCTGAACCCTAAGCCCGAAACCCTAAACCCTGAACCCTAAACCCTGAACCCTAAGCCCGAAACAATCTAGGTTTTCCATTGAGGTCGCCATGCCGCCTCGTCGGCCAGGCACCTTGTGCCTTTTCGACGCCTGCTACCCCTTGTTTGCAGCTATGGCTTCGGGTTACCCTAAATTGAGGGCTAAGGGTTGAGGGTAGAAACCCTAAACCTGTATGAACCGCATAGGGTTTAGGTGCGAACGATGTGTGGAGGCTCGAGGACTCGGATTCGGAGTAGGCCCTTGTTAATTATTCCCCTTCTTTAGGGCCTAGTTTCCCTTTTGAACCCCCTTGAATCCAAAAAGGGCACCCTTTTTTATTCCAAGGTTACTCTTGGGTCTAGAGTACGGGGTAGCCCTAAACCCTAAACCGGTCTAGGTACCTGCAACTTGAAAAACCCGCTCGGGGCTTGGATAAAGCAGGTGGCAAGTACAAGGGCCTCGTGCACCGCAACAAGAGTGATGCCCTCGCCTCAGTGGCCATTAGGGTTGGGGGTTTAGGGTTCAGCAAATAAAAGGGGTTCAGGGTGGAGGGTTCAGTAGGGTGCAAAATGTGGTCTTCGAAGCCCGCCGAAGCCCTTGTCTGGGAAAGCCCCAGCCTATGTGTAGGGGTCATTTATAGCGGAGTAAGACGAAGAATCCCCCTTCTGGGGGTCCCTCCTTATCCGAAATCGACCGCCACACACTTGAGATGAAAGTGCGCGAAAGGCCAACCCGTGGAACCCTCTTTTTTTCTGCTCTTGGTGTCATAGAGTTTAGGGTTTCGGATTCCGGGTTTAAGTTTTAAGCTCCCAGTTCCGGATTGCAGCAACCGGGGCTTCGAGGTTCGAGGGCGTTCAGCTTGGAGCTTTAGCTTGCCGACCCGTGGGAGTCGTCTCCTGACAGCCCCCTGCTCTTAGCAAAGACCACATTCAAAGGTGCCTAAAGGTGCTCCACCCTAAATGGTAAACCTTAAGCAGCCCTACTTAGCCAAGGCGGCGCTGGCGAAAGAAGCCTCCGAGCGCGTGGCTTCGGACGAAGTTGAAACGAACTCCTAGGAGCCCTAGGGCCCTGTAGCGTTGCGGCTTATATGGTTTAGGGCTCAGTAAAAGGGTTTTGGAGTAAAGACGCAGAAGTAGATTAAATACAAATATTCGTTCACAAATGAGGCTATATTCATCTTCAGATATATATATATATATATAATGTGTATGTGCGGTTAGGCTTTGCACGCTTCTTGGACGGGTAAGCCAATTGAGGGGAGGTGACGAAGTGAGGCCGGCCACCTCCTGTTTTTGCAGTTGCCCTTGTCCAAACGCAAGCCTGAGCGCCAATGCCCAATCCCAAGAAGGTTGGGGGAGCGAACCCTCCCAAGCTGCTTCTCAGAGTTCGGTTGTGAGAAAACGAATCCCTTTGCCCCCCCCCGCACCCCCTTGAGCCAACTGCGCAAAGCCGAAGACGAGCCGGGACCCGTCGAGTTTGGATGTTTCCTCCAGGATAATGTACACCATAGTCATAGCCCATCTTGCAACCCGGATACATCCCTTCTTTGGGGGCCTTGAGGTATCGTGCCCTACCCCTCGAACTCTCCTCCTAAACCTCTTGGGGTTTGATCCTTCGAGATGGCGAGGAGTAATAAGGGGTTTAAGGTCGGATTCGGGTTGCGGGTTTTGGGGCTGCCAGGCAAGGAAGCAGCAGGAGGAAATGGTGAAGAGGCGCTTTCGGGCGGGCCAAGAAAATTGCTAAAGGAACGCTGTGTGACGACACACACATCTCATTCTTACTCACTCTTACTCACTCTTACTCACTCTTTCTCATTCTTGCCCACTCTTACTCACTCACTCACTGTTACTCACTCACTCACTCTCGCAGGTGACTTGAGCGTCGGTCAGTTCTCAAACAGGCGATCCCTTCTTTGGGCCCCTGAATTCGGACGTCCCGTAAGTTCTTACAGTAGGGTGCCCGGCCCTTAGCCCCATATCCCCCTTGTACTACTGTAGCAGTCCTTAATGGGGATTATAGTATCCCCGATTAGAATCCCTATTCAGGACGGTCAATCCCAAGGTACGGCAAAAGCCACTCTAGGCTAAGCTTGGCTGTGGGCAGGGCCGCTGCGCGGAAGCAGAAGGAGTTGATGGCAGCCCCTGGCAAGCTTTTTGGGGAGAGGGTTTGGGGTTTAGGGTTTAGGGTTTAGGGTGAACAAAAACCGAGTCGGGTTTACGTGCTAAGGTTTGGTAGTGGGGCCTGTACTCTGAGATCTAGTTAGATCCTGAACTTGTTTGGGGCATGATGCAGGTCCTTTTAAGTTCGCATGCCGTGCAGGTTTCCCTTCAGCACTTGTCCTTGCGTTCTTTCTGCTTTGGTTTTCATATTTGGCAGCGGCCTCAGCTTTGGCAGCTTCGGTGTTTCGGGTATTGTCAGTTTTTTGCTGCGTTCCGTCCGTTGGCTGAAGGCTGCTCTTTCCTTTGAGGCCTGCACGAAAAGGCACCAGAAATGCAGTCGCCATTCACCAAGTCGGGCATGGAAACGCGGCCGGTCAGCCGAATTCACACGGTTTGCGTTTGCCACAAGATCACGGCATGGCCAACAAGTTTGGATGCAAGCAAGACTTGGCATGGCGCCACAGCGGCATGGCGTTGGTGTCCGTCGCGGTCATCTGCTTAATTCCTAGCAAGCGTGTGAGCTTCGGGCGCAGTGGAAGCAACACCTGACCAACAAAGCTTTGGCTTTTGTAATTGCCTACTCATGGAGCCTTTTTTTTGGACATGCTTGCACCAACCACAAGCCAGCAGCAACCCTGCCGCCTATGAGCTGCCAGGACCGAAACGGCTTGGGCACGGAGGTTGTGGACCCGGAGGAGGTGGCGCCGCATTGGGTTCAGGGCCCTCACTACTGTACGCCAAGAAGACGTGACAGAAACCTTAAACCCTCAACCCCCCGGCAATCTCTGCATACGCCCACCATGGAGCTGGTAGGCCCTCTCTTCACATCTGAAGCCCTAAGCCCCGAAGCGCCTAAACCCTCGAAACCCGAACATAGATGAACCCTGCACTCCCATTTCAGGCGGGTAGCTTCCCTCATAGATCCCGCAAAAAACCCTCAGAGCCCTTCTAGTGCCCTTATCAACCCTCATAGCAGCCTTATACAACCCCCCCCCCCCCACGCACGTGAACTTGTCCCTAAACCCTAAACCCTAAACCCTAAACCCTAAACCCTAAACCCTAAACCCTAAACTGTCCTTTAAAACGAGGGGGTTTCCTTTCTTCTCTTGTGCCTTTGCAGGAGAAGAGGCAGAGGATCCTCAACCTGATGATGGGAGGCCGGTGCCAAAAAGGGCGTAGGTTTAGGGTTTGGGGGTTTGAGGGTTTGAGGGTTTGGGGTTTAGGGTTCAGGGTTTGAGGAAAAAGGGTTTGAGGGTTTAGGGTTTGGGGTTTGAGGGTTTAGGGTTTACTAGTGGCTAGGGGGTTGAGGTCCAGGGGCGTGGGGATTTAGGGGGCCTCGGGTATTCTTCTGCTGTCTGCACAGGCACGGAATCACTTTGCAGGTTCGGAGCAAACAGGACTGTCAGGAATAGACTTGGGTTATGAGCTCGGCATCACTTCCACCCGGGTTGCCGTGCCTCGTATCTTATTTCCTGGCAAACAAACTCTAGGAGCTTTCTCTGGTTTAGATGCTCCAACTTGTTTCCGAAAGAGATGCGCCGGCCTGGTCCAATCCCGAAAAACTTCCCAAACCTCCTCGAAGAAAACCTAGATGGAAAGTTGCAACCCTTGAGCTCCTAATCTTCCCAAACCGCCGCAGGCAGAAAAGGTGACATCATGAAGTTCTTCCAGGCTTTGGCTTCGGGTGCACGGCAGAATGTGTGCCCTTGCAATTGCCGCGACCCAGGCTAGGGGCTCTGGACCGCGGCAATCCTTCAACTGAAAAAACCAACATTGCACGAAATAAGCCCCTGTTTCAATCTAGTTGGGCCCCTGAACATGGAATGTTCCCCCTATACTAACAGTCTTTCATAGGGATTATCGTGCCCCCTCTGATCATCCCTAGTAAGGACTGTTAGTATAAAGGGGGAACATGAACATCCCAACCCTAAACCCTAAACCCTCTGGAAGCGTATTGTTGGTGCTCTGAATGTCGTGCGCTGCATGCATCATGCACCCTGAGCACTGGGCACAGGCATGGCGTCGTGGTGCAACGCAGCAGCGCAAGGACAGCGGGACGCTTCCCAGAGCCTGAAGCCTGAAGCCTTTGGAATTTGTGCTTTGCTTGTAGAATGTTCAAAGGACTGTTACACATCTTTGTTATGGTTCTTAGAGGGGTATGGGTTTAGGGCTCGCGTATGTGGGCTTAGGATTCCCGAGCGCTTGCTTGGTGAGATTTCGGGGTGTTACTTATACCTGGAGGTTCATGCATAGTTATAAGTAGGGTTATGAGTATGGTCATTCTACTTACAGCCCCCACTTAGGGTACTTATAACCCTACTAAACCTCCAAGTGCACAGAGTGTCCTGTGAGGGTGTGTTGCTCCGGAGCATTCAGGAGACGAAGATCCGCGAGCGCGAAATTGGATGGCGAGCCAACTGCGGCGGAAGAGCACCGACCTTAGTCAGAAGCCTAATCTCTGAGGCCCTAAGCCAAGAAACCGGGGTCCTACACAAAAAGCACAAAGCAGCAGAACGTCCAGCCAGCAGAACGCCGGCCTTTGATGTCGCTGCCGAAACGCTCGATTTTGCAACCTGACTTGCCTTGCGAAGTCTGCCCCTCACTTTGCAGACTTTACCGGAGTATCTCTCGTTTGGCTGCAGCAGATCAATCTGCATCGAAGAGCAAGCTTGGGGAATGGAGACGAAGGGGTTGCTTCAGTTCTTGTGTGCCCTACCTTGCAGAAAGCTGAGGACCCGAGACCTTTTCAGCAAAGCATTCGGCATATTGAGAGTCTAGGGCCCGGAGTAGGCCCTGATTTCATTTTTTGGTTTGGGTTCCCTTATTAATCCCTTTAAACCAAAAAGGGCACCTTTTTTATTCCCAGGTTACTCCTGGGTCTAGAGCGCAGGATCCAGAAAGCATAAACCCTAAACCCTAAACCCTCCTGTTCTCCTCGAAAGGATCCGGACCTTCCTGGCGGCTGCTCTTCCATTCGGCTGCCAGCTCCTCAGTTGGCCAAACTGTCGAGTTTGCTAGGAGGGTCCTGGTTCTTCTTAACCCACTCAAGGGGCTTATGAGTGGGTTATCAGTGCAGTGTTAAGTGGTTGAAATAAAAGTACCACGAACCTCCAAGTGCCTGTCCAAAAACTTCCTCAACCCGTACCTCAAGATCTGCACTAAGCCCTCGCTCCAGCCACAGATTCGGTATTCAGAGCGGTTTAAGGTTTAGGGTTCAGGGTTCAGGGTTTAGGGTTTCGGGTTTCGGCTTCAGGGAGTTTAGGGATGATCCCCCGGGGCCCTGAAGAAACCGACACCTACGAAGCCTCGAACTTTTTCCGGCAGACCCTCGAGTGTAACGAGCTCATGGCTCCGAGTTCTTAGTGAGGGTCGAAGTGAGAATACTGTGTGTTCATTTACCAAAACCAAAAAGACAGCTCGACTGTTCATGGCAGGCCATACCTGCACGATGATAACGTCCATGTTAGGGCCAGAGCATCCATGCCCGCACGATGATAACGTCCATGTTGCCAGTCCATGCGAATGGCCAGAGCCACAAAGACTTTGCACTTGCGTTGAGTTCAAGGTGCAAAATTTTCCTTCCAATTGAGAAACAGACAAGTGATTTTCTACATGTGGTAAGTGCTTGAAGTACCACGCCTGCAACGAACTTTGCACTTGCATCAAGTTTTGGAGGTAGTTGGTAGGAGGGGGGGGGGGGTGGGGGCGGCTAGGAGTAGTAATTGTACCGTACTTGTGGTTGTAGTAGTAAGTAGTAGTAGAGAAGTACGATGACCGTTTTATGGCTATAGCTGTGAAGATGCTGATGATCAAGCCTGTCGCCCAGAACACTCGAGCCGAGAGATAGCCTGTCTGCGGAGGCTCATGCCGGCCAACTTGGAGTTGCCCTTGACGAATTTCCTCAACATCACGTCAGGCAGGTCTCTCTTCGAGTTAGGAGGTTTCTTCCGTGTGCTGGTGGCCCTAATGAACTGCTACCACAAAGTCTGGGTATGCATAGAAGAAAGGCAGCAGCCTTTCGCAGCTGAATCATTACCCACTCTACATTACATAGGATTCCGGGCTTTCTTCATGCATTGCGAGCATCGCATGTCAATGTAAGTAAAGTAACGGTAGTAACGTATGTTCATATATGTGTGCACATGCAATCGTATGTAAGTTCGCATGTACCTTTGTATGCAGATCTAGGTCCATGCGTACATGCGCATGTGAATGTACATGTTTGTGTGCATGTTTGGATATAGGTGCATTCGGTATTGCATTAAGCGTTCGCTGCTACCCACCAAGAGGAAACAAAGCTGTTAAAACACTATGATGATAACAGTAAAATGTGAAAACAAGAAAAGGAAAACTTAGATGGTACAGCTTAAACATACACATCAAAGAGCAAATATGATTACACCAGGCACTTATCTTTCACAAGCTGCACACGGTCGGCGTAATGTCCGAATGGTTTGTCCCATTCCCTCCAATGTCGATTCCATAATTAGTTCAATATTATGGGGGATCTTTTTCGAGTTGGAGTAGCTATGGGGTTGGGTTTTGTGATTTGGTAGTCATTGATGGTTTGCTTGTAAGACTTAGCTTTAGTGTCCATGGCTAGCAAGCGTTAAATATATAACCCGCATGATCACCAACCCTTGGGACGAGAGTTGAGGTTTTTGGAGCTGGTTCGCCCCCAAGCCCTGCAAAACAAGGGTGCTCATGCTCGTGCTTAGGCCTGCGATTGCTCTCCCTATCTCAAACTGCATGCACGCGTGCGTACTGCACATGTTCTGTATGCACCAAACGTAGGGGTTTACGAAAACAAGGGATTCCTAATCTCCTAATATAGACCCTCAAATCGGAGGATTCTCTTATCATCAGCACTCCAATAAGGCCTAATTTTGGAAACCCCCAATAATGGATGCCAATCATCCAGTGTCCATCCACTCCCAAGACTTCCTCCGCCATGCAGGCGAATCCGAGACCTTCCGATCTTCCAGAGGGCGCGGGCTTCGGGATACTTTCAGCCGTTGCGCATGATGGTTTGGTTCATGGGTCGGTATAAGTATAGGGTTACAAGTACCTTAGTTAAGCTTACATGTATCTCCCTGCTTAGAGCTACCCATGAACCCCTAAGTAGGGACCTGCCGGGGGTTGTGGGTCGACATTCCTTGATTGAGGCTGGTCTCCAGGGGCTCTTTGCGGCTTTTCGAGACCTTTTTTGGGATGATGAGGACACCTCACGAGGTGCCAACGAGTTCAGGGTTTTATGTAAGCTCCCCCCCAAAAAAAGATTCAGTTTGTTCTTGACTCTAAGGGTAGTTATATGGGCCCGTACTATGGTCCCGTACCTCAAAGGGCTCGGAAGTATTTTGGGATATATAGGATATATAGGAAGAGGTATACAAGGGGTCCCCTTTTCAGGGCCCATGCTAAGGGACCATGTGATGGCCTGCAGGGTTCATATGTATATTTCATTAAGTGCGGTCTTGAGCTACCCGAAGAGCCCAGTACCCCTTAAGTAAGGAATATTCTGGGGTACTTAATATGATTTAAGCAGGGATATTCGTTAATGAAGGGGTATTGGGCTCTTTGGGTATAGGGTTTTTATGGTCGATGATGAGTTTAGGGCTTCTGGCAACTGAGGCGAGGAGAAAGAGGTTCAGGGTTCCTTTTTCCGATGTTTTTTGTCAATCTCCGTGGTGCGCGGAGGCGGGACTACGCCATGGGTCTCACCGGAATGTCCGACAAGCTCAAGCGAAAGACTCGGAGTCTGCTTGCGCTCTCGAGAAGGGTATGGCGCCAAAGCCTTAACGAACCCTAAGCCTTGTGAGCTGCGTTGCGTATTTGCTTCTGGCCCATGTTTCGATGGTTGAGCAGGATCTTCAGCTGTCCCTGATGTTGTGGCGACCACTCCAGAAAATTGCCCAAGGCTCTTTAAAAAATCATCTACACGCCCTAAGCCCAATGCAGGAAAGCCGGAATTGGCCCGGAAGCCCCCCCCCCCCGAGGCAAGCCACTCTCACCTCAGCCACCGGCCTTCTACCGAGGATTAAGGAGCGATCGCGCCCGGAGTTCTGTTTTTTGGGACTTTCGTGTTTCGGGTCAATGATGTGCGTGTGGCCACTTCTCCAGCATCCTTGCGTGCGGGATGTAGAAAGAAGTCCCAGACGGAAAACGCCTTCAGTTCAGCACCTCGAAGCCAGAACACTGCCTAGTCGTGGCACCCTCAACCCTAAATCCTAAACCCCCAACCCTCTCAGCCCCAGACCCCCCCGCCGGCAAAAGGATGCGCAGAAGCGCGAAAGCCCTCAAGAGAAGCACGTGCACCACGACACCTGGTTCGGCCGTTCCCCCAGGCACGCAACAAACAGGAGGACAACCAGAGATCCTAAACCTTAAATCCTAAATTTCCCCTATGCCCGAGATACTGAATATCCGTAGCTTTTGTGACCTGAGTTTGGACCTGCTTGCCTGATAGTGCGGTATGTCAAGTTTAGCCCTGAATCGAGTTTGAGGCAATGTAGCGCTAAAGACATGGTAGCCCCAACTGGGCAGAAAGGGCAGCAGTCGAGTCCCCTGTGAAAAAAAGCCCCAACTGGAGATGGTGTTTGCCTTTCAGCAAAACTTGACTACCAACAGCAAGAGGATTGACATATTCTCGGAAAGCGTCCCTAAACCCTAAAGCCCTGTCAATCCGCCTATGGGGTCACCCAATGCCGAGGCCCGAAGAGCGAGATCCAGCA